CTGAGCCCACAGGGACTTGTACTTCTGAAGCACAGGTACGTACCGATGTTTCTGTGGAAGATGGCCAAGGTCCCGTCGGCCAGAGCCACCAGCACCCGCCCTTTGACGTGGCTGTAACGCAGAGGTGAGGATGAGAACGCTGTACGCTCGGGACGCACACCGCGGTTTGAGAAACACTCACACTATGCCCAGAATGGAGTCCTTCAGACGGATGGCGTGAAGGCACTTCTTCCACCGCATCACCGACGAGTGAACGTACAGACTGTGGAGGAGAAAGATCCAGGGTCAGGAGAGGTCTCTCTCTCTGGTCTCTCTCTCTGGTCTCTCTCTCTGGTCTCTCTCTGGCCTCTCTCTCTGGTCCCTCTCTGGTCTCTCTCTCTGGTCTCTCTCTCTGGTCTCTCTCTCTGGTCTCTCTCTCTGGTCTCTCTCTCTGGTCTCTCTCTCTGGTCTCTCTCTCTGGTCTCTCTCTCTGGTCTCTCTCTCTGGTCTCTCTCTCTGGTCTCTCTCTCTCTGGTCTCTCTCTCTGGTCTCTCTCTCTGGTCTCTCTCTCTGGCCTCTCTCTCTGGTCTCTCTCTCTGGTCTCTCTCTCTGGTCTCTCTCTCTCTGGTCTCTCTCTCTGGCCTCTCTCTGGTCTCTCTCTCTGGCCTCTCTCTCTGGTCTCTCTCTCTGGTCTCTCTCTCTGGTCTCTCTCTCTGGTCCCTCTCTCTGGTCTCTCTCTCTGGTCTCTCTCTCTGGCCTCTTTCTCTGGTCCCTCTCTCTGGTCCCTCTCTCTGGTCCCTCTCTCTGGTCCCTCTCTCTGGTCTCTCTCTCTGGTCTCTCTCTCTGGTCTCTCTCTCTGGTCCCTCTCTCTGGTCTCTCTCTCTGGTCCCTCTCTCTGGTCCCTCTCTCTGGTCTCTCTCTCTGGTCTCTCTCTCTGGCCTCTCTCTCTGGTCTCTCTCTCTGGTCTCTCTCTCTGGACTCTCTCTCTGGTCTCTCTCTCTGGCCTCTCTCTGGTCTCTCTCTCTGGCCTCTCTCTCTGGTCTCTCTCTCTGGTCTCTCTCTCTGGTCTCTCTCTCTGGTCCCTCTCTCTGGTCTCTCTCTCTGGTCTCTCTCTCTGGCCTCTTTCTCTGGTCCCTCTCTCTGGTCCCTCTCTCTGGTCCCTCTCTCTGGTCCCTCTCTCTGGTCTCTCTCTCTGGTCTCTCTCTCTGGTCTCTCTCTCTGGTCCCTCTCTCTGGTCTCTCTCTCTGGTCTCTCTCTCTGGCCTCTTTCTCTGGTCCCTCTCTCTGGTCCCTCTCTCTGGTCCCTCTCTCTGGTCCCTCTCTCTGGTCTCTCTCTCTGGTCTCTCTCTCTGGTCTCTCTCTCTGGTCCTCACCATCCGTTCTGCGCCCCCAGCCACATGGTAGGCAGGGCGCTGCTCATCCTCAGCACCTCTCCCTCTGGTGTCTCCGTCGGCTCTGGTAAAGACGTGACCTCAGCGCTGCTGCAGCTGCTGCTGTGGGATAAAAAAAACATGAACATTTTATTGGTTGTTTTCTTGTTTTGAAGCACTTTGAGTATGAACGGCGCTATACAAACAACTCGCCTCACGACACAACAGTCACAACAGTCTCTCTGGTCCCTCTCTCTGGTCTCTCCCTCTCTGGTCTCTCCCTCTCTGGTCTCTCCCTCTCTGGTCTCTCCCTCTCTGGTCTCTCCCTCTCTGGTCTCTCCCTCTCTGGTCTCTCCCTCTCTGGTCTCTCCCTCTCTGGTCTCTCCCTCTCTGGTCTCTCCCTCTCTGGTGTCTCCCTCTCTGGTGTCTCCCTCTCTGGTGTCTCCCTCTCTGGTGTCTCCCTCTCTGGTGTCTCCCTCTCTGGTGTCTCCCTCTCTGGTGTCTCCCTCTCTGGTGTCTCCCTCTCTGGTGTCTCCCTCTCTGGTGTCTCCCTCTCTGGTGTCTCACTCTCTGGTGTCTCCCTCTCTGGTCTCCCTCTCTGGTCTCCCTCTCTGGTCTCCCTCTCTGGTCTCCCTCTCTGGTCTCTCTCTCTGGTCCCTCTCTCTGGTCTCCCTCTCTGGTCTATCCCTCTCTGGTCTCTCCCTCTCTGGTCTCTCCCTCTCTGGTCTCTCCCTCTCTGGTCTCTCCCTCTCTGGTGTCTCCCTCTCTGGTCTCCCTCTCTGGTCTCCCTCTCTGGTCTCCCTCTCTGGTCTCCCTCTCTGGTCTCCCTCCCTGGTCTCCCTCTCTGGTCTCCCTCTCTGGTCTCCCTCTCTGGTCTCCCTCTCTGGTCTCCCTCTCTGGTCTCTCCCTCTCTGGTCTCTCCCTCTCTGGTCTCTCCCTCTCTGGTCTCTCCCTCTCTGGTCTCTCCCTCTCTGGTGTCTCCCTCTCTGGTCTCCCTCTCTGGTCTCCCTCTCTGGTCTCCCTCTCTGGTCTCCCTCCCTGGTCTCCCTCTCTGGTCTCCCTCTCTGGTCTCCCTCTCTGGTCTCCCTCTCTGGTCTCCCTCCCTGGTCTCCCTCTCTGGTCTCCCTCTCTGGTCTCCCTCTCTGGTCTCCCTCTCTGGTCTCCCTCTCTGGTCTCCCTCTCTGGTCTCTCCCTCTCTGGTCTCTCCCTCTCTGGTCTCTCCCTCTCTGGTCTCTCCCTCTCTGGTCTCTCCCTCTCTGGTCTCTCCCTCTCTGGTGTCTCCCTCTCTGGTCTCCCTCTCTGGTCTCCCTCTCTGGTCTCCCTCTCTGGTCTCCCTCTCTGGTCTCTCTCTCTGGTCTCCCTCTCTGGTCTCCCTCTCTGGTCTCCCTCTCTGGTCTCCCTCTCTGGTCTCCCTCTCTGGTCTCCCTCTCTGGTCTCCCTCTCTGGTCTCCCTCTCTGGTCTCCCTCCCTGGTCTCCCTCCCTGGTCTCCCTCTCTGGTCTCCCTCTCTGGTCTCACCTCTGTGCTGGTCCTTTGGGGGTCTGGTCAGGCTCCATCCCCAGTGGGTCTGTGAACACATGCTCTGTGTAGATCCCGGGCTGACTCTGCTCCTCCCCCGTCTCCCCCTCTGCTCCCTCCTCCTCCCCCTCCTCCCCCACACCAGCGTTGGCCTCTGTTGCCTCCGTGGCCTCCTCTGCTGCGTCTTCGCTTGGACTGGTCTCTCTGGACAGCTCCACTGTGTAGCCAAGCAGAAGGGAGAGGAAACTGTTGTAATCAAACACCTCTATCAGCAGGTACCAGAGAGACCAGAGAGAGACCAGAGAGAGAGACCAGAGAGAGGCCAGAGAGAGAGACCAGAGAGAGGCCAGAGAGAGAGACCAGAGAGAGACCAGAGAGAGACCAGAGAGAGGCCAGAGAGAGAGACCAGAGAGAGGCCAGAGAGAGAGAGACCAGAGAGAGACTAGAGAGAGACCAGAGAGAGGGACCAGAGAGAGGCCAGAGAGAGAGACCAGAGAGAGACTAGAGAGAGACCAGAGAGAGGGACCAGAGAGAGACCAGAGAGAGACCAGAGAGGGACCAGAGAGGGACCAGAGAGAGACCAGAGAGAGACCAGAGAGGGACCAGAGAGAGACCAGAGAGAGACCAGAGAGAGGCCAGAGAGAGAGACCAGAGAGAGACCAGAGAGAGACCAGAGAGAGAGACCAGAGAGAGAGAGACCAGAAAGAGACCAGAGAGAGGCCAGAGAGAGAGAGACCAGAGAGAGACTAGAGAGAGACCAGAGAGAGGGACCAGAGAGAGACCAGAGAGAGACCAGAGAGGGACCAGAGAGAGACCAGAGAGAGACCAGATAGAGACCAGATAGAGACCAGAAAGCGACCAGAAAGAGACCAGAGAGAACATCCAGTGAAAAACCAGAGAGACAGACCAGAGAGGGACCAGAGAGAGACCAGAGAGAGACCAGATAGAGACCAGATAGAGACCAGAAAGCGACCAGAAAGAGACCAGAGAGAACATCCAGTGAAAAACCAGAGAGACAGACCAGAGAGGGACCAGAGAGAGACCAGAGAGAGACCAGATAGAGACCAGATAGAGACCAGAAAGAGACCAGAGAGAACATCCAGTGAAAAACCAGAGAGACAGACCAGAGAGGGACCAGAGAGAGACCAGAGAGAGACCAGATAGAGACCAGATAGAGACCAGAAAGCGACCAGAAAGAGACCAGAGAGAGCATCCAGTGAAAAACCAGAGAGACAGACCAGAGAGGGACCAGAGAGAGACCAGAGAGAGACCAGATAGAGACCAGATAGAGACCAGAAAGCGACCAGAAAGAGACCAGAGAGAACATCCAGTGAAAAACCAGAGAGACAGACCAGAGAGAGAGAATAGACAGATATACTTTAAAGAATAGAGATTTATATCCCTGAGTCCTTTCGTCTGGTCCTCATGCAGAGACACATATTTATGAGAGAACAGGGGGGGCTGACCGGGTGCAGAGATGCCGCTGTGCTCCGTGGGGGGCTCGCTGGCTCGGGACCCTGCGGTTTGTGGTACAGCTGTGGTCCCCTCTGCAGCCAGAGCACCATCGCTGCCCGTGGAGCCCACACTGGCCACGCTGCCCGCCAACGACACCCTGTCCCCGGCCTGAGACCCGTCCACGTCCTGAGGAACCTCCTCTGCAGCCGGGAAGTCTGTCTCCAACACTCCTGCCACAGACCAACAAACAATATCATTTCTCTGGTCTCGCACTCTCTCTGGTCTCTCTCTCTGGTCTCTCTCTGGTCTCTCTCTCTGGTCTCTCTCTGGTCTCTCTCTGGTCTCTCTCTGGTCTCTCTCTGGTCTCTCTCTGGTCTCTCTCTCTGGTCTCTCTCTCTGGTCTCTCTCTGGTCTCTCTCTCTCTCTGGTCTCTCTCTCTGGTCTCTCTCTGGTCTTTCTCTGGTCTCTCTCTCTCTCTGGTCTCTCACTCTCTCTGGTCTCTCTTTCTGGTCTCTCTCTCTGGTCTCTCTCTCTGGTCTCTCTCTCTGGTCTCTCACTGGTCTCTGGTCTCTCTCTGGTCTCTCTCACCGGGCACACTGGCGATGCAGAGGATGTGTGTGTTGCAGGCGTAGAAAGTGTCCAGGATGTCTGCTGGTTGCGTGGCGTCCAACACGGTGACTTTGGTGGAGGAGTGGGTGCTGGTGCAGACCCAGACCCGGCTGGAGGTCTCATCCTGGGCCACCACGTCCCGCTCTCCCTCCCCTTTCTCTGGATCCTAAGTGCACAACATACACTTGGATGATGCAGTGTTGCCAGATACCAGCGCGAATATCCAGCCCAAACCCTTGTCAAAACTTCTTCTGGTCTCTCTCCCTCTGGTCTCTCTACTTCTGGTCTTTTTCTCTCTGGTCTTTCTCTCTGTGGTCTCTCTCTCTCTGGTCTCTCTCTCTGGTCTCTCTCTCTGGTCTCTCTCTCTGGTCTCTCTCTCTGGTCTCTCTCTCTGGTCTCTCTATCTGGTCTCTCTCTCTGGTCTCTCTCTCTGGTCTCTCTCTCTGGTCTCTCTCTCTGGTCCTCTCTCTCTCTGGTCTCTCTCTCTGGTCTCTCTCTCTCTGGTCTCTCTCTCTGGTCTCTCTCTCTCTGGTCTCTCTCTCTCTGGTCTCTCTCTCTGGTCTCTATCTGGTCTCTCTATCTGGTCTCTCTCTCTCTGGTCTCTCTCTCTCTGGTCTCTCTCTCTCTGGTCTCTCTCTCTGGTCTCTCTCTCTGGTCTCTCTCTCTGGTCTCTCTCTCTGGTCTCTCTATCTGGTCTCTCTCTCTCTGGTCTCTCTCTCTGGTCTCTCTCTCTGGTCTCTCTCTCTGGTCTCTCTCTCTCTGGTCTCTCTCTCTGGTCTCTCTCTCTCTCTGGTCTCTCTCTCTCTCTGGTCACACCTAAAATGGTTCTAGCTTGTTCAATTCAAAACAATTCACCGTATTTGTCGGGGAGGAGTGAGTGCACAGGATTATTAACACAGACCTAAGTGGCCTCATGTACCTTGGTCTCGTGGTCCAGCTGGTCCAGGCTGCACTGGGAGCCCTTCTTCAGCCTGTGGAGCTCCGGCCGGCCCCCGGACATGTTCACCCCGGCTGCACACCACAACTGCAGACGCACAATGACCTCACACTTACAGCCAAAGAGAGAGACCAGAGAGAGACCAGAGAGAGACCAGAGAGAGACCAGAGAGAGACCAGAGAGAGACCAGAGAGAGACCAGAGAGACCAGAGAGACCAGAGAGACCAGAGAGACCAGAGAGAGACCAGAGAGAGTGACCAGAGAGAGACCAGAGAGAGACCAGAGAGAGACCAGAGAGAGACCAGAGAGAGACCAGAGAGACCAGAGAGACCAGAGAGACCAGAGAGACCAGAGAGAGACCAGAGAGAGTGACCAGAGAGAGAGACCAGAGAGAGAGACAAGGGAGAGACCAGAGAGAGACCAGAGAGAGACCAGAGAGAGACCAGAGAGAGACCATAGAGAGATCAGAGAGAGACCATAGAGAGAGACAAGGGAGAGACCAGAGAGAGACCAGAGAGAGACCAGAGAGAGAGACCAGAGAGAGAGACAAGGGAGAGACCAGAGAGAGACCAGAGAGAGACCAGAGAGAGACCAGAGAGAGACCAGAGAGACCAGAGAGAGACCAGAGAGAGACCAGAGAGACCAGAGAGAGACCAGAGACAGACAAGGGAGAGACAAGAAGGACCAGAGAGAGACAAGAGAGAGGGACCAGAGAGAGAACAGAGGGACAAGAGAGAGACCAGAGCGACCAGGGAGAGACCAGAGAGAGAGACCAGAAGGTGCCTCTTCCAGTACCTTCATGGAGTTGTCCTTGTGCTCCAGGGGCCGCAGGTACACCGGCACCGGCAGGTTCATCTTACTCTCCGTCTGAGTGCCGTTAATCTGAAACATTATGACGACACATACCATCAAACACACACCAGAGAAACACGACAGACACACACAAGACCCACAGCAGACACACCTCCTCAGGCTGTCCGTGATATTTTGAGTACACGATTAGACTAACCCGACCATATTTAATTAAATAATTATCTGTTTAACTGGTCTGTTTTCTCTGAGTTTACGCTCATCAGAGGTTTGTGAGACTCTATGTTGTCTGCTTGTTCTGACTCTAGTCTGTTGTATCTGATAATGTGTGACATCATTCAGGTCTATTCAGAGAATTATGGTCTGTCTGTGATAAGGTCCTGTGCCCTGAATGTTCAATAAATGTGACATTTGAGTTGAACGTCTTACTCATGTTTGTAATTCCAGAAAGTATTGTGTTTGCGGTACTTTCTGCAGCGTCCCACCTTGCACTTCCCCGGGAGGCTCCAGCCGTGAGCCGTGACTCTGCCGTCCTCCTTCTGCATGTGCGCCTTCACCTGTCGGTACTGAGCTCGCTTCTGCTCCTTACGGGACGGAGAGCTGCACGGGTCCTTCCTGATTTTAGAGAAGGAAAATTAATGAGAGACCAGAGAGAGAGACCAGAGAGAGAGGCGAGAAAGAGACCAGAGAGAGACGAGAGAGACCAGAGAGAGGCCAGAGAGAGACCAGAGAGGGACCAGAGAGAGAGACCAGAGAGAGACGAGAGAGACCAGAGAGAGGCGAGAAAGAGACCAGAGAGAGACCAGAGAGAGAGGCGAGAAAGAGACCAAAGAGAGACCAGAGAGAGACCAGAGAGAGAGGCGAGAAAGAGACCAGAGAGAGACGAGAAAGACCAGAGAGAGAGAGATCAGAGAGAGACCCTCTCTGGTCTCTCTCTGGTCTCTCTCTGGTCTCTCTGGTCTCTCTGGTCTCTTTCTGGTCTCTCTCTGGTCTCTCTCTGGTCTCTCTCTGGTCGCTCTCTCTGGTCGCTCTCTGGTCTCTCTGGTCTCTCTCTGGTCTCTCTCTGGTCTCTCTGGTCTCTCTCTGGTCTCTCTCTCTCTGGTCGCTCTCTGGTCTCTCTCTGGTCTCTCTCTGGTCTCTCTCTCTCTCTCTGGTCTCTCTCTGGTCTCTCTCTCTCTGGTCTCTCTCGCTCTCTCTGGTCTCTCTCTGGTCTCTCTCTGGTCTCTCTCTGGTCTCTCTCTGGTCTCTCTCTGGTCTCTCTCTGGTCTCTCTCTGGTCTCTCTCTGGTCTCTCAGTGGTCTCTCTCTGGTCTCTCTCTGGTCTCTCTCTCTGGTCTCTCAGTGGTCTCTCTCTGGTCTCTCTCTGGTCTCTCTCTGGTCTCTCTCTGGTCTCTCTCTGGTCTCTCAGTGGTCTCTCTCTGGTCTCTCTCTGGTCTCTCAGTGGTCTCTCTCTGGTCTCTCTCTGGTCTCTCTCTGGTCTCTCTCTGGTCTCTCTCTGGTCTCTCTCTGGTCTCTCTCTGGTCTCTCTCTGGTCTCTCTCTGGTCTCTCAGTGGTCTCTCTCTGGTCTCTCTCTGGTCTCTCTCTGGTCTCTCTCTGGTCTCTCTCTGGTCTCTCAGTGGTCTCTCTCTGGTCTCTCTCTGGTCTCTCTCTCTGGTCTCTCAGTGGTCTCTCTCTGGTCTCTCTCTGGTCTCTCTCTGGTCGCTCTCTGGTCTCTCTCTGGTCTCTCTCTGGTCTCTCTCTGGTCTCTCTCTCTCTCTCTGGTCTCTCTCTGGTCTCTCTCTCTCTGGTCTCTCTCGCTCTCTCTGGTCTCTCAGTGGTCTCTCTCTGGTCTCTCTCTGGTCTCTCTCTGGTCTCTCTCTGGTCTCTCAGTGGTCTCTCAGTGGTCTCTCTCTGGTCTCTCTCTGGTCTCTCTCTCTGGTCTCTCAGTGGTCTCTCTCTGGTCTCTCTCTGGTCTCTCTCTGGTCTCTCTCTGGTCTCTCTCTGGTCTCTCTCTGGTCTCTCTCTGGTCTCTCAGTGGTCTCTCTCTGGTCTCTCTCTGGTCTCTCAGTGGTCTCTCTCTGGTCTCTCTCTGGTCTCTCTCTGGTCTCTCTCTGATCTCTCTCTGGTCTCTCTCTCTCTGGTCTCTCTCTGGTCTCTCTCTGGTCGCTCTCTGGTCTCTCTGGTCTCTCTCTGGTCTCTCTCTCTCTGGTCTCTCTCTGGTCTCTCTCTGGTCTCTCTCTGGTCTCTCTCTGGTCTCTCTCTGGTCTCTCTCTGGTCTCTCTCTGGTCTCTCAGTGCTCTCTCAGTGGTCTCTCTATCTATATAAATATGAACCCTATATTTCTTAATTAAATTAAATAGAATAAATACATATGATTTTGTTTGGATATAATTTAACTTTAATAACAGTTCATATTAAAAAACAGAAATATAAATATTGTGTGTTTTGTTCAAATGTACAGGGATCTTTTACTGAACCGTAAGAATCTTTTATAAATAAATGGTCTTAGTTTTAAAGTTCCCAGAATCGTTCGTGATGATTCTTTTACACATTTATTATATTTTTATTATATTTTTATGAATAATGTTTGTTTCCGTCTCTGAGTCTTATGTAACTCTGTCTTTATCGAGTTTAGCCTCAAGCAACACTCACACAGGACGAGGAAGAAAGACCCTGAAACCAGGACTGGACCAGGACTCAAGCAGGACTGAAGCAGGACTGGACCAGGACTGAACCAGGACTGGACCAGGACTGGACCAGGACTGGACCAGGACTGGACCAGGACTGGACCAGGACTCAAGCAGGACTGGACCAGGACTGAACCAGGACTGGACCAGGACTCAAGCAGGACTGGACCAGGACTCAAGCAGGACTGGACCAGGACTGGACCAGGACTGGACCAGGACTGGACCAGGACTGAACCAGGACTGGACCAGGACTCAAGCAGGACTGGACCAGGACTGAACCAGGACTGGACCAGGACTCAAGCAGGACTGGACCAGGACTGGACAAAGTCTGAAGCAGGACTGGACCAGGACTCAAGCAGGACTGGACCGGGACTCAAGCAGGACTGGACCAGGACTCAAGCAGGACTGGACCAGGACTAAAGCAGGACTGGACCAAGACTAAAGCAGGACTGGACCAGGACTAAAGCAAGGCCTGGACCGGGACTAAAGTAGGACTGGACCGGGACTGGACCAAGACTGAAGCAGGACTGGACCAGGACTCAAGCAGGACTGGACCAGGACTGGACAAAGTCTGAAGCAGGACTGGACCAGGTCTGAACCAGGAGTGAACCAGGACTCAAGCAGAACTGGACTGGGACTAAAGCAGGACTGGACCAGGACGGGACCAGGACTAAAGTAGGACTGAACCAGGACTGGACCAGGACTAAAGTAGGACTGAACCAGGACTGGACCAGGACTGAACCAAGTCTGAACCAGGACTGAACCAGGACTCAAGCAGGACTGGACCAGATCTGAACTAGGTCTGAACCAGGATTGAACCAGGTCTGAACCTATTATTATTCCCTATTTTTAGTCTGAAATGTTTTGAGCAAACATTTTCCCAGCGCAGTCTGCGGACTTCGAATTGTTAGCGCTATTTCCACCAAGACAAACTCTACATCACGGTTATAAACATGTAATAACAGACAAGAAAGGATTTAAACTTTGTATTAGAGTAAAGTAAGTTATAAGCAAAGTTATGTCCAAATCCCACGGGAACGATCAACTTTCGCTAGTTGAAAACAGAAACCTTGCACAGAAAAGCTACAATTCTTACATAATCAGCCATATATTTACAATTAACTCATTATAAAACAAAAAAACAGGATATACACAATAAACTTCAAGGCGTTGTGTCCAGTTCGGCTTCATTAATTTATGTGATTAACCTTCGACATGATAATAAAGCCCCCGGAGAGTTGTTGAAACGCCCACACCGCTTCGGATCACTTCGCGAAGAGCAAAGAGCGCAGTTTACGGGCTGCACCGCTAATTACGGAACACTGCATTTAAATGAACTTTACGAGCAAAAACACCACATTTCCTTATAGTTTAGTAACATTATCTGTAAGTTTGTGTGATGTAAAAGTGCGTAAACAAGAGTGACGACCATTGCCAGACTTATATTAAGAAAACACCTCTATAATAAATTGAAAACATATAATTTGTGTCATAAATATATGTGAAAAGTCAGATTAATTACCTGTACGTGGCTGAGATGCGAGCGGAAGCCTGAAATGTGACTTTAGACAGTTCGTGGGAAGAGCCGTGTTGGAGAGGAGGAAGAAAAGTGGCTTAAAGTGTCCAGATGTTAGAATAAATCCTGTTAAAAGTCTTGAAAGCCAGAGGTGAAGCTGTGGAAGACGTGTGGACACTGTTTGAAGACTGTGTGGACGTGTAGCGGAGGTGACAGAGCGGGGACTGGGTCGTTCTTTCCCCGTGGAGCAGCTCGATCCACGGGCTGATCCCTGTGGACAGTCCCGGGCGCAGGGAAGTCCGGTCCTTTCACAGTAAACTCCATTTACAGGGACGGAGCCAGAGGTGGGTCTAAAGGGGAGGTCCGGGGGGGTCGGGGGGGGGATACATGAGGGGTCCTGGAACAGAGGAAGGGATCCGCGGACTAAGCGACTTGGAGCAAATTTTCTTTATATTTATTTGTTCAGACTTCTCACTGTAACAGGGGCAGACATGTTGCTCAGACGGCCAGCTGGGATTACCCATTGATCTATTATAATAACTGGATAGGCTGTTACTAGCTTGGAGCTGAAGAACTCATGTGATCGGGGGATTCTCGCGGTACTGCAGACTAAACCAGACTAAATTCATGTGGGCTACCCAGAAATTTTCCCCATAGAACTCAATGTAAACTAAAACAGCGCGACCTCCGCTGACAGAGAACCTACACACTTTACTGCCACAAACTCTGCTCCCTGCCTTCCCGCTCTGACGCCGCTCTTCCGCTGCTTTGATCAGCAGCTCTGATTGGTCAGAGCGCGGCCGAGCCCCTCTGTGCACGTGCATGAAAGCAACACACGCGTATTTGGCGACCGTGCCGGCACAATGCGCGACTGAGCACAAACCATCAATTTGAATATGGCGCCATCTTGGATCGCCGGCGCATGGATTACCCCCGCAAATAAAGGTACTGGCCATATTTGCATGCGAAAGCCAGATCCCGTCAGACCTCTGAAACTGTGCAGAGAATGGCCTGGTTAGTGCTGTGATGGGAGACCTCTGGGAACAGCAGGTGCCACAGTGGGGCAGCTGCGGCTGTAAAATGCCAAACTGTGGTTGTGTCCTTAGGCAAGACACTTTACCCAACCACTAGCCAAGAATGAATGTGTGTGATCGCACAGACCGGTTGCATTTGTCAGTGTGCTCGAGGGCATCTGTGGCTACAGTAGTAGTTTATCATCAGTGTGTTTGTAGTAAATTAATAATGACAGTGTCCACAATATAAAACCAATGCATTATTATCATTATATGATTGGTCCATCCTGGACTCATATCAGGATTTACAAATGTATCACAATATAAACACCAGCATCACAGAGAACGCTAAACCGCAGATTTAAGTCCATAATGGTGAGTGTGTCACAAACGGTTACTGAGGAGTTTACTTTTACTGGTGAGTCAAAAGGAGCCAGAGCAAGTTGGAGAAAACCCAGTGGGGGAGGGTCCCGGCTCAAAAGTGGCCAAAATGACGTGCGCTGACATGCTGCAATACCACCCCGGGCCTGTAGGGGTGGACCCGGAATAGAATGCTAATATATAGCATTGGCAGACCTCTCAAAAACGTCTTTACAGGATGGTCCAAAAGTTGGCTCTTGGCCCAAAGCTTCGTTCCACATGTGTGTCAATGCTGAGGGAGTGTTCTGGACCAGTCTAGTTTAGTCGCTGTGGACTTTAGAAGTCTCTCGTTCAAATGAATGGAGCTGCTCCGGCTGACGCATGCGCAGATGTGTTTTTTCACAATTTTCTTGTGGGCGGGACCACTCACGGCCATTTTGGATAGCTCCAGTAGAGCACATTTTTTAGCCCGTTAGTTAGAACGGCGGAGATAGGCGTGACTCTGTCCATCAATATATACAGTCTATGGAAAAGCCTCAGCATGAGCACTTCCCTATTGGGCTTCATTGAGCTAACGGGTTAGCATGGTCCATACAGTCCATGGTTAAACCCCACTCTATCCTCAGCCCTGTAGGAATACTCCGTCATGTCCACCGTAGTGAAATGAAACAAATGTTTAACTCATTTATCCAGAATCTGAACACGTTTTATTCCAAACAAAATCACACATGTTTAATAATGTACAAAAATCTATTTCCCCAAAAATACACTTGTTACAAATGTTTTTAAATAGTTTTCCTTTAAACATATTTTCAGTTAAAATATTGATAATTACATTTTCTTAATTTCTCTGTAAAAAGTTCACAACTCACATAATTCCTTTAACTTCACTTGTTCTTGTCGGTCATAAACCGTTTATCGACTCTCCAGAAGGTTTTCTTTTGTCCATCCATCCAACCATTTTCTTCCCCTTAATCCATTTCTGGGTCGGGGGTGGCAGTCAGAGCCCCAGCCCCTCACTGATCCTCCTGCAGGAGCTGAGTCCACAGGAGGCTGCTCTAGTCTGAGCTGCCTTGACGGTTCAGGGGGGCTTCAGGCAAAGTGGGGTTAGGTGCCTTGCCCAAGGGCACAACGACAGCAGACATCAGTGGGAGTCGTGAAGTAGGTCTCGGGGTGGGCTTGAAGGCCCAAAGTCCAATGCTCTACCACCTGACCACAGTGGTCCCCACCTGACCACAGTGGTCCCCACCTGACCACAGTGGTCCCCACTGACGTTCTCCTTTGGTTCAGTTTCTAAACAGAGAAGTGTGCGGTGGCTTCACTCTGCATTTAAACCAGCAGCGTCACAGGTTCAGCTCGTGCAGCAGCCCTCCTCCTCCACCAGGGGGGGCATTTGCAGATAGAAAAGTTCTGCAAAATCCATCACTTTAGTTCAACTGGCTTTTAATAAATACTATAACTTTAGACATTTGGGTGAAAACTTCAGTTGATAAAAGGGAAGCTAATCTTATCTAAGAGCGTTTATCAGGACTGACCGAGTGTGACATCACTGTAGTGTTAGCTTTAAGGCTGAAGAAGTGTGTGTGTGGTTATTATTATGATTATTATTTTCTTTGTATGTCAATACTTATTCCTAGGTCAAATTGACTGAAGTAATCACATATGAATGAGTTAGTTTATGTAAGGTTTTTTCAGTTTGAGTGTTTAGCCCCGCCCCCAACTCGCTCACAGGCTTCTCATTTTGAGAAACCCTCCTACTCTCCCCTCCCACGGAGCCATCTAGTTTTATTTGCGATCTAATACTATGCAAACATTAGTATTAGCGCAACGCACTGTTAACAAAATATATAACGGAAAGATTACCGCTAGTTTCACATCCATAGATAGTCCGAGCGTAGACAGTCCGAGCGTAGATAGTCCGAGCGTAGACAGTCCGAGCGTAGATAGTCTGAGCGTAGACAGTCCGAGCGTAGACAGTCCGAGCGTAGATAGTCCGAGCGTAGACAGTCCGAGCGTAGACAGTCCGAGCGTAGATAGTCCGAGCGTAGATAGTCCGAGCGTAGATAGTCCGAGCGTAGATAGTCCGAGCGTAGATAGTCCGAGCGTAGACAGTCCGAGCGTAGACAGTCCGAGCGTAGATAGTCCGAGCGTAGATAGTCCGAGCGTAGATAGTCCGAGCGTAGATAGTCCGAGCGTAGATAGTCCGAGGCGGTCCCGCAGGTCTCTCCCACAGACCAGTCTCTCCAGAGGATACGGTGTAAGCTAGCTCTGTTCAGGGCTTGGTTTCTTCTTTATAATAATAATAATGCATCGGTTTTATATAGCGCTTTTCTGGACACTCAAAGACGCTTCACATGTGTCATTATTCATTCACTCCATACACGGTGGTGATAAACTACTAATGTAGCCACAGCTGCCCTGGGGCACACTGACAGAAGCGAGGCAACCAGTATGTGCCATCGGCCCCTCTGACCACCACCAACCATTCATACACACACCAGACTCATTCTAGGCAATGGGGGTGAAGTGTCTTGCCTAAGGACACAACAGCAGTTTGGCACTTTACAGCCGCAGCCGCCCCACTGTGGCTGGTGTTCCCAGAGGTTAAGTGTCTTGCCAAGGACACAACGACAGTAGTCAGTGGGAGTCGATGGTGAAAGTCTTGAGCGGGGCTTGAACCCACGACCTTCTGGCTCAAAGGCCAACGCTCTACCAACTGAGCTACTGCCGCCCTTCTTTGATCATGTTGTGGCTTTAGTTCCTCTTCTCTTCCTCACTGTTGTGTGGTTTGGGCTGTTTTGCTGTGTCTGCAGTTACAGCCAGAGGAGTTATAGCCACTTATGCTAACATGCTACTGTGTTTAGCTGCAGACGCTAGAGGAGGCGTGGCCTAGAGGAGGCGTGGCCTGTTCGTAACAGCGCCGCTCCTCCTGTGATTGAAGTCTCTACTCAACACTTTTTACTGAGTTCATACACCGCTGAATCAATGAGCTCAAGTTTTACATTACATTACAGATTATAATACAACTTGTTTGTAGTAATAATCATTTTTATTAACTCATTAGAAAATAAATCAGGTATAACTTCTTTAAGGAGCAAATCTAATATACTCAGTCACCGCCAGCAGGGGGCGCCACATCACCATAAAGCTCGGGCACGAAACTTTCAGATCACATCAATAGAACGGTTTTTGTTTTTGTTTATTGTTTTGTATTTTACGTTGAGGTTTCCTGAAAATGTGAGGTGCAAAATGTGTAAGATATATTATTTTCATTATGATTTTTATTACATTTTATTATTAGTACTCAGTGATAAAACTCATCTCTAGTTCTGGGCTCTGTATTGTATTTTCTGGTCTGGGCCTGGTCCGGGCCTGTTCGGAGTCTGTTCTGGCTCCAGTGGGTGTGGTCTGGTCTAGTTTTTCTGGCCTCTGTCACATCTTTAAATCATCTTTTTCAGGCAGAAAAGTGAAAAAGAGAGGACCACCCTCACTCAGCCAATCAGCTCTCTGTTTGTTTATGAGACTAAAGTTACAGATCTCAGCTTTAAGCATGTGTCAATTATGAGAATGTTGCTTATACCCAACTGCAACAGCAACTTCACCTCCAGAGTTTTGTTTTATTAACTATTATCCTGTTTGATGTGTGTCATTTTATCTTTCATTCTGCTGCAAGTTGTGAAATGATGACACTGAAGTTTCCCACAAAGGGATGAATAAAGAGTGTTGTTTGAGACTAAAGTTGCGTACCCCAGCTTTAAAAAGCTCACATCAAACTTCTCATTGTGAAGCCTAAACAAAGTCAACATTTAAACACAACTTGTCTGTAAAGCTATAAAAAGTTGAATCAAAGCTGTGAGCTGAAATAAAAAGTTCACGTGAAGCTCGTCCAAACTGTGGCCCTCAAGCTGAATGAGGCCCTCAAGCTGAATGAGGCCCTCAAACTGAATGAGGCCCTCAAGCTGAATGAGGCCCTCAAACTGAATGAGGCCCTCAAGCTGAATGAGGCCCTCAAACTGAATGAGGCCCTCAAGCTGAATGAGGCCCTCAAACTGAATGAGGCCCTCAAGCTGAATGAGGCCCTCGAAACAGTTTCCCACGGCCCTGCTCCTGAGGGCAGCTCCAGTCCTGACAGCGACGTCGCTAATCCACGCTGGTATTTCCAGTTAGCAGTGTGGAGTGGGCGTGGTCACATGTGCTCAGTGGGCGTGGTCACAGGTGCTCAGTGGGCGTGGTCACTGGTAGGTGTGGTCCACAGGCGTGTCAGAGCGAGTACAGCTTCACCTGCTCCTCCATCTCTCCTTCACTCATCTCCTGACTCTCTCTGAGCAGGAGGAAGATGGCGGCGAGCTGCTCCTGCTGAACCCTGTGGGGGTAAGGGGCACGGGGGGAGGGGCACAGGGGGAGGGGGGGGGGGGGGGGGGGTCCCATTAGAACTCCTATCTTAGGGGCAGTTTACACAGAGACAATGTGGCAGTAAAACGGTATAGTTGGATGTCGGTTTCTACCAACCGTTCATACGAAGACTGTGTTCCAGGTGAAAACATAAGTGTTCAGATCCAGCCTCAGAGTGGGACAGCTCAGAAACGCTGCACAGCGGGGGCTCTTTCACACCCGCGAGAGGGGAAAGGTGTGAATTCTTTGCCTGATCTGACCCCCACCTCCGCGCTGCTCCCACACGTAAATTGGGACATGTGCAGTAGCGGAGAACAAACGTAAACAACAATGGCGGCGGTCACACTAACTAGCTTCGTGGGCTTCGAGCACGGCACAGAGGAGGATTCTACTCCTTCGTTCGTCCAAACGAGACCACGCGAAGCTCTAGGTTCAGTTTCCATTTTCACAGCTGCTGTTAAAGAATGATGTTGGTGCGTTCTTCCCTTGTTCTGCCGGGAGGGGGCTGGGCACGGGGCTGGGGGTCGTGTGTCGTGTTGTAAAGTTTCTCTGCCCCCTACTGGCCGGGCGCTAGAACTACATCGTTTTTCAACCTCATGTGAATGCAGAGAAATCTGCATTAGGAGCCAGGTCGTTTCTGTTAATAGCCTGGAAACGTCTGCGCAGCGTCTCAGTATAAACTAAAGCCCTAGAGTCATTTAAGATAAGACGTCTTTATCTCGACTTTATCTTCTCTGATGAGTTCTGAAACTTGTGTTCCTCCTACAGTCTGACAGCCTTTCTGAATTAATAGAATCAAATTGGTCGAATAATGGCTCGACGGTTTCCATTTCCATCAGCCCGACTTGGCACAACTCTGCTCTACTCTATCTGGTTGCGTTTCCATTATGCTTTAGTATCCTAGCAACCGACCCACAACAAACTAGTATCCTGGGATTTGTTGTTAGCAAGCGCCAGGATCAGCCGAAATGGTGAGACACTGAAGCAGGCCTTCAGTGTCTCGTCCGACACTCCTCGTGACGTCACCTGATGTCACATGACCTGATGTCACATGACCGGATGTCACATGACCAACGCAAGGATCACCGCAACACCCTAACGTTACCACCCATAACTACGCAGCCGGCAGCAGAGAAGGTCCACTGCGATTGGTCCGTGTGAGATTACTTTTTGGATGGAAGCATGGAGCGGCTGCAGGAGCATGGAACAGTTTGGAGCAGACTGCTTCGTGCTTCGAAGGAACTGAAGGAAAAGCAGTTTGGGCTCCAGGCTCAGAGGCTCAGAGGCTGTGGACTGTCTCTAACATATATCCTAAATGTTTATACTTATACTTATATATACAGTCGTTTCCTTTGCACTGTTCTTGTCTTGTTTGAATCGTAGCTCATCGCGTCTGTTGCATTCATCCTACACTTGTAACTAGTTAATGTTTGGTCTCAGATATTCACTACATTTTTCTTTTGCTGTTTGTGCTGAATACACTTTAATAGCAACAATGTTTCCAACAAGAACTGTGTCTTTATTTAACATCACAGTTAAATGAGTTATGAAACCATGAGTCCATAGAACTGTCGCACAACCTTACGTCTAGAAACACATGTTATGATCTCAAGCAGCTTGGTTTGCTCATGTTTCTGTTCTGAAGAAGAGAAAATAGCAGCGTAAACGAGACCCTTTGGTTTCTCAGGCAACTCCTGTGAGATCGCCATCATGTGGTTGGTTGTGGGATTACAACATTCTCTTCAGAACTACACACAGGGAAACGCTCGAGTACACAGGCCTTTAGAGACTGGAGAAAAACTTCACCTTTAGCACTTCCCGATTGGGCTTCACTGAGCTAAAGGGTTAGCATTGTCCTGATATTAAACAAACAGGATACAAGCTTGGACAAAAGTCTTTATTCGTCCTGAACTCACACAATCCGACGTCAAACTCAAACTGCAAAAAAAGAACTCCAGGAAAAATATTTTTAAATTAATTCAGGCAAAAATGAATAATTCTTTTTTTCAACATGTTTCTCGTCTGAAATTAAACTGGATTCATGCAACAATAATAACACAAGTCTTAAGTCTGTGTGTGTTGTTGTCTGCGGCTCCACACTGCCCCCTGTGGCAGAACAGGATGGAATAGATCCCTCCGCCTCGCTCTGAGCTCTGCCCCTTCATCCAGCAGTTATCCTCACGTTATTGTAGTTAAATAGTAGTTAGCGGACAGTTTTAACATATAGTGTTGGAGTGATGCATTGGGTACTGCCATGAATTTGTATCCGACCATAACATCATCCCACTCCCCTCCAAGGAAAATGCTTCATTCCGAATTAGACACAGAAAAAAAAAGTGGGCTCACTTCCGGCGACTCTGGTGCATAAAAAATAATTACAAGATTGTCTAAATGTAAATGCAAAGTGTTTCGAAAAAACACAGGCAACCAAACGCGGCGAAAATAGTAGAGAAGAAAAATGGCAATCATGTTGTCAAGGTTTAAAGAAGACCATATTGTGCTTCTGTGTGCAAAATGAGGAGTAGAACAAACCAGAAATTCAAATCATTAAATATATGTTTCAAGTATTTGAAATATTAATTTGATTTAACTGATTATAAAGACGCTTTTCTATAACCATAAACAGTTCAATCACTTTATTTGTGATGGTTTTTGTCTAATAGAATAACATTTACTAAGTAAGTAAGTAACGTTTATTTTTATACCCGCCTTTTTCAGACCGAGTCACCAAAGCGGAGAGTACAATTTGTATTTTTTGGGCATTTGTTTCTCACTCCACAAGAGATTGGCGCAGGGCAGTACATGGGGCGCATGCGACCCTATTGTACCATATTTTTAGTTGGTAGGAGAAAACGGAGTACCCGGTGGAAAACTACGCAGACACGGGGTGTAGAACATGCAACTCCATCAGATTGGCCCTGGTCGACCAGGATTCGAACTCAGGACCTTCTAGCTGAGAGGCGGAGAGTGCTATCCCACTCGCACCGTGCTGCCCAAAATCAGATTATGTTTATTTTAAAAAATTTAACTTTCTATATTGGACCATTTATCATTTTTGTTAAACCCGACACAGTTAAATTGAGTAAGAATAAAAATAGGCAGTTTACATTTTCATTCAGTATGTCCACTCCCCCACCACCCACTCCCAACCCAAAAGGCAACATCTATGTCACTGTCTCTGTCTCTCTCTATTTTTTACAATCTGTATCTCTCTCTCTTGTCTTGTATTTCTCTCTCTCTGTATCTATCTCTATGTGGTCTTTCTCTTTTTCCTATGAGTTTTACCCTCTCTCCAGTACTGTCTCTCTTGTGCTGTCTCTCTTGCTCTGTCTATCTCTGAATCTCTCTGTGTCTATCTCTTCGTCTCTCTTTTTATCTGTGTCTCTCTCTCTCTTGCTCTGCAGCTTTCTGTGCCCGTCTCTGCGACAATCTAGAAGTCTCACATTTTTTCTGTATTTCTCTAAGTAAGGGGGGTGCCCCCAAAGTGGGGGCCCGCGGGCCAAAGTTGGCCCGCCGGACCAATATCAGTTGGCCCGCCAAACCATTGGCCAACACTCCTCTGTTAAGTTTCGCTCGGCGTCCCTCAACCTCACTGAAACAGACCGTGAGGTTGAGGGTCGCGCGGGCGCACTAAGCCCTGGCTGATCGGAAATTGGTCCAGTACTTTATGTTGGTTCGAGATACACTCCTCACTCATGGTTCACATCAACTTGACTAAAATGTTTTTTAAAATCAAACACATCTTTCAAAACAAGGCCCCTTTATGTTCTTTTTTTCAGCCGACTATTATAATTTTTTTGTGCAATTTAATGTTTATTCAAATTGAGAGGAATGTGCTGGCGAACTGCCCACTCCCCCTCCTCACCTGGAGGGTCAAATGGCGAGGGAACTATTCACCTGCGCAATCCTCATCCCACCGGTTGTTATAAAAGACGGGACACAACACTTCAGGAGTGAGTTCAGCAGGCCAAGCAGGGATCGCAGCGCACGATCCACGTAAGTAGAAGCAACAGATACCTTGCAAAAACACACCTTCTACAAACCCATGAAAGAAGCCGGTAAGCGCGTCATCCCTCGCAATCATGAATGTCAGAATTACGCGGAGTTTTGATGCGTTTCAAGAGCCTTTGGAGAGCGGAAAACTCGGGATCTTTAACAGTTACTTTGTTTTGATTGTTTATAAGTTTACTGTGTTTAGGCAAACAAAACAAAACTCCAGGAACAATTCAGGGTTAAACTAGTCTGATTTCGTTAGTTAATAATCAGTTCACAATAATTGAGAATTTACTTGTCCTATGTTAAAATATGTAAGTTAAAACAGAGTTTAAAACCTGATCATGTTAAAAGTGTGCCTACAAACCCAGATCTAGTGATCAGTGATGTCTCCCCTTTTTGATAAAAGCTAAGATAAAGAATATGATTTCAAATGTAGTTTAAACACTTTTGTTCAAAATCATATAGAAAAGAGACTTTACTTTTGTAAAGTAAATGTCATTAGTTCAATAAACCTATACATTATAAATCACTTGTCTATAGTAATGCAAAAAACTGTTTAGAAAAAGGGTCTTCAAACAAACAGTTTAGTGACATGAGCAGGTTAAATCTTTATAGATATTTAATTTGGGAGTATGTATTATTTAATATAAAATTAGTACATTCAGTTATCGCAGGCACATTCTTTGTTTACAAGTTAAGAAATCAAGTCGTAAAAATCCGTTTATTTCTCTTAGAAATGTATGTTTTGTTCTCTTTTTGAGGATTTTTATATGATTTTAACCCTTAATAAGCCATGACCGAAATCTTCCCTCCTCTGGGACCCTGAGTACTGCGGCCGGAATCGTTCCGTACTGTAGTCTCTCAAATCCGCATATTTCCTGGATCTCCACTGCACTAAGACTGTGTGATTTCATTCATTCAGCTGTG